AAAAAAAAAAAAAAAAAAAAAAAAAATATCACTATACTGTCAAGAGAGTATGAGAATAAAAAGGCAAATAGTGTTTTGGTATTATTATAAAAATAGTTTCAAACTTGTGCACCCCTTGATAAAGTCTAGGGGTCCTCAAAGATATTCAGAACACATTCTGAGAACTCTGCAATAATTCATACTTTAAAAACTTATCCCAATCACAGGAATTTATAAGTGTTGAATCTATTAATTATATTATTTATCATTAAATTATTCCCATGAGAGAATGATGTGTCCTACAAATATCCTTAATATTTACCTTTAAGGAAGGGTTTGACAAAATTTTATTAAATGAAACAAATCCTCTTTTATTCTTGTTGCCATCTTTTGTATACTTGGTATAGTGACTAACCTTGCTGTCAAGAAACTGGCCTGCCCTTAAAACCAGGAATCCTTTTGAACTAAGGGTGTGACATAGGATCAGTCTAGAATCTGGAGTCATTGTGTGGCTTCAACATGGTACATTTTTTCCTCAGTCTTAAATAATAAGGGAGTGTATAATACAAGGGTTGGATTGCATCATCTCTACGGTTTTTTTGCCTCTAAAATTCTGTATTCTAGGACAATGTGTTTTAATTTACTACAGTAGGTGATAGTGGTTAGGAAAGATCAATAACAGTTCAAAATTAGGAGTGTGCAGGGAAACAGTTTCAGATTAGCTAGGCAAGCCTCCAAAAATGGCATAATGTTTAGAGAAGAAAATATGTGAAGATTTGACAAGTTAAAATTAACACCTCATGGGATCCAGACTGAAAGCTCAGAGCCAATAGTAAGCAGCACTAAAGAACATCGTTATTGAATTGTGATTTGAGCATCTCTGTTTGTTGCTTGAATGTGGACCTTTCTAAGCTTAAATTGTTGGCTATATTCAGGAGATTATTAGAAATCTGCATAGGATTCTTGTCCTTGATTTGAGGTGGAGACTGTTGTACTAAAAATACTTTGCTATACATGGAAATCATGGAAAAGTAAAGATTCTTCAATGTCTAATATGCAATTATATATAGAATATTTCTTAATGCTACTTCCAATGTAGACAATATCAGAAAAAAACAATATTCACTTGCAAAAAAGAAAATTCAGCACAATATTAAAAGTGTTATTTTATAAAGATAGTTGTTAAACATCAAAATGAACTGTAGATAAAAGTTGTTTAGTCACTTTTGCGTAATGTCATTTATGTGACTCTTATGATCCATCCAAGTTTGGTGGTTAAGACTAAGAGTTTTGGACTTAAAAACCCCAAATTTGAGTTAGAATCTCAACATTGCTAGCTGTGTAATCCATGGATTTCTCTAAACCTTACTTTTCCCACTCATAAAGTAAGGAAAAAAGTACCCGTCTCTAATTGTGAGTACCACATAAATAATAGTTATTATTATTACAACCGATGTTGCTTTTCTTTAAGGGAGGAATAAAATAACTGTTTGAAATCTTAAATAGATATTTTGAGAATTTTAAAGTTGAAATTTCTCTTAACTAAAAGAGTTTAGTTAAAAATGTTTTCTGTCTTATATTATTTATACAGAGACTCTTAATTAGATAGTTAACATATTATGCAATTGATATAGTGATCTATACAAACCCATCGTAGGTCATGGTTAGGCCGGCAACTGATTTATTTTCACAGAGCATGGAAAAATATAATAGGTGAAAGAATAATGACATTACAGCAGTAAAAAATGAGAATTTGGCAATTCCAACTGGGTTCAATTTGAATTTTTTGATGATATATCCTCCTAAAAACATTCCAGTTGCAAAAACAGGTAAGATTATGATTCCTAGAAATAAAAGAAAAAAAAAGTTGTAATCACAGTTTTTCTGATATGTCTTTATAGATGAAACACAGTGTATGTCAATCAAATTTATTTATTACTTGTTTTTAAATCTTACTTTAAGTTCTGTAATACATGTGCAGAATATGCAGGTTTGTTTCATGCATATACATGTGCTGTGGTGGTTTACTGCAGCTATCAACCTGTCATCTAGGTTTTAACCCCTGCATGCATTAGGTATTTGTCCTAATGCTCTCCCTCCTTTTCTCCCCTAGCCCCCAACAGGCCCCGGTGTATGATGTTTCCCCGTCTGTGTCTATGTGTTCTCATTGTTTGACTCCCATTTATGAGTGAGAACAAGCCATGTTGGGTTTTCTGTTGCTGTGTTAGTTTGCTGAGAATGATGGTTTACAGCTTCATCTGTGTCCCTGCCAAGGACATGAACTCATTTTTTTTATGGCTGCATACTATTCCATGGTATTACGTGCCAAATTTTCTTTATCCAGTCTATCACTGATGGGCATTTGGGTTGATTCCAAGTCTTTGCTATTGTAAATAGTGCTGCAATAAATATGTATGCATGTGTCTTTATAGTAGAATGTCAATCTTATTACTTTTTAAAAAGAAGAATGACAGAGCAGGATGGTGGAAGGGGGTCCATATAATTTGTTCCTGCCAATGATGACAGTTTGGTTTTCTCAATAGCAAAAGGCAGTGGCTAAGGATATTTGTTTGTTGGAGCAGATCATTTCAATGACGCAATTGTGTTTTTCTGGAAATCAACAACAAAACACCATCTTTCTGCCTATGGAACTTCAGTCCTATTATTGAAAGCCTTTTACGTCTCTCAAATAGAGTTCCAAGTTCCAACCCTCAATAACTCACTCTAAATCTGCCCAGAGCTTGACAATAGAATAATTAATATATCTTTATCATTTATTTAAAAACACATAGACCCTGAATTGACAAATAGGTCTACATACAGGATTAATAATGTTTAATACCTCCTATAATTTTTCCATATTATTGTCTAGTAAAAGTTATTAGAGATGAAATCTTCTCTAGGAAAAATCTCAGGCTAGGTTATTGGAAGTCAAAACAGTATCTTTTGATTTTAAACTTTTATCTTAGAATCAACAGAGAGGTAGTCTGGAAGCTTAGTCTAGTGCTTCAGTACATTCATTTTCTTTTTTACTTATGACCTACTTAAATACCACATGATAAGTTGTTTAATTCATCATATATTTATTGAATTCCTATAATGTGTCTTCAATACTAGAGTTATGGGAAGAATAATACAAGGAAACTTTCCTTTATAAGCACATCTAAATATGTCATTTAAAATAGATATTGCAGTAAAAAATATTCTGGAAAATATATTTATTTGGATTATGCATATTTTGATGTATTTAAATTAATACTCTTTTTGGAACTCTTAGTATCATATTTTTGTAAGTAGCTAAGTCTTGATTTCAAAGTCCATAAATTATAGAATTATAATGATTATAATTACAAAAGGGTTTGTCTCAGGATCTCAGCACTAAGTATTAAGACCCAATTATGCAGATATTACCTCTCAATTTTCCATTTACTTGCAACATTTTCTTCAGGAACTCATCTAAAATAAGATGTAACTTCAAATGCAGAGCATTAATGACATCACAGGTTTTATATGTTTGATAACATTTGAGAGATAATACAAGAAAATTATACTTATTTTGTATTGCTAAAATATGAAATCACCTTCACAATAAAATGTCACTTGGAATACAACTATTTAGTAGTATTTCACTTATCAAGCACACAAGTAAAATATATGTCTTACCCAACAAAATGTTAGCCTTAGATGCAGGCTGATCATACTGTTGCTCTACATATTTGAAGATAAAAGTAAAATTACCAATATAGCTGCTTACTTGTAACAATGTCAAAAGCACAAATATAACATAGAAGGGATTAGTAAGGATGCTTTTAAAAGACTGGAGAAAACCTATAAATTGCAAAAATAAAGAAAATATTAGAATGCAACTTAAATATACATTTACATCTGAAACTTGTGAACATAGGTCATGTAAGATTTAAAATTCTATAGCTGCATAACACAAAGAGTGAGGATAGCTGGCAATACTACAGGATATTCACAGTTTTAAAATATATCCTTTCAATATTTTCCAAATGTATATTAATATTTGTTTAGTTTAGTGTACCCTCGAATAGGGTCATACATAAGTGTTGTTCCGTAACTTGCTTTCATCACTTAATATTTGATTATTCTGGGTACGCTACAATACTACTGCAAATGTATTAATTCACTTATTCATTCTTCAACAAATGGTCGGTTTTCAACTAGGTACCAGACAATATGCTAATTGTTCAAGAAACAAAAGTGAAGGCCAGTCACGGTGGCTCACGCCTGTAATCCCAGCGCTTTGGGATGCCAAGGTGGGCGTATCATCTGAGGTCAGGAGTTTGAGACCAGCCTAGCCAATATGGTGAAACCCCATCTCTGCTAAAAATACAACAATAAGCCAGGCATGGTGGTACACATATGTTATCCCAGCTACTTGGGAGGCTGAGGCAGGAGAATCACTTGAACCTGGGAGGAGAAGGTTGCAGTGAGCTGAGATTGTGCCACTGCACTCCAGCCTGGGTAACAGAGCAAGACTCAGTCAAAAAAAAAAAAAAAAAAAAACCCAAAGTGAATAAGACATACAATATTTCTTATTTATTAGTACTTAATAAGTATTATCTTAAAAATATAACTATTAAATGAAAATGTAAATTAAAGACAGCATAATCTGAAACCCACAGAAATATGAACATTGAGGTTCAAAATTCTTAAAGATCAATCTAGTATGAGGACTCAGACCTCTTGTTTCTCTAGTATACAGCTTTTCTACCATAACATACTTTCTCAGTACATTTGGCAATATTTTAAAACCTCTGTCTTAAGATACAAGGAAAGCAGCCGGGGGATGTTGTGTCCCAAGTATTGTAATAATAATACAACCACCTATGCCTATAAACAGATGTGGTAACAAACTTCTAGCTTCTGTTCATGGCAGAAATTATGTCATCTGGGTCTGTGATCACCAGGTCACCTAGCTGTAATCGGAGTTAAAAGTAGAAGGAACTACTTAGAAATACAGTAGGAAGTATCAGAGTTCAGCAAGATAGAATCAGATATGGTTACTGAGAGATGGATGATACTGTGATATTGTGCTGGCCTAGAGCCAGAACCGGAGCAAAACTATTTTATAAAATGCAAAACTGTTTTTAGATAAGTTGAAATGGCTGCCCCATTCTCCTTACAATAACTACTGTCCTTGGCCTCTGTAAATAGAACTGCCAGTTTGTTCTTCAAAACTATGTAAAGCTGCTTACCTTTTCTTATCAGTAACTGCTCTTTGTGGCCCTAATGTGACAGGCAAGCAGTCCTAACCCATGCCATCTTGGCTCCTGCGACTTGTAATAAGTAACTAAGGTCTGTGATTTCCACCTTAACCAGATAATGTGTAAACAAATGTTTATCTTGACTTCTGTAAACCACTTAAGTAACAAACGGAATGACAAAAGTCCCCATCCCTTGGAATGTCCGGGGACCCCCACCCTCATCTCTGCCCAGGAGGTAATTTACAGAATCCACTAGCCCTCGGAATGTCTGAAGCCTTTTCATCCCCATCCCCGCCCCTCACCCCCACTCCCAAGGTGGTTTTTCGGGTATAAAAAATCGTGGCACCCTCCTGTTGCCACCACAGGTTGGAGAGACGTGAGTCCTCTGTGGTCGCCGGCATAATAAATGACCCTACAATCTGGCATACTTTTGTCTTGTGATAACTTTCTACATTCGGTCAAATACAACAATACAGGCTTTGAAATATTTTTCTCTCTTTAGATCTCTAAATATTTTCATCACATATAGTCAGAACTAAGACATCCATCTAATGTCAGCTACGAAAGAGTTGGATCTGCTTAAAATAAGGAGGAAAGAAAGATATAGAAAAGACACAGAAGAGAAAAAAAGGAAGAGGTAAGAAAATATATAGTGGGAACAAACAACATTTAAAATTTTAAGACCAGAGTGCTACACTTCTTTCTGCAGGTCTCCAGTCATGAAGAACCATCCCTGATTTGTAAGTATTATATGTGAGTTGTGGCCTTTCCTTAACAGAAATGGAGTATATACATTCACAAAATCTTTGCATTTTTGAAGATGAGAAATTCAATGTCATCCAGTGTGAACTTCCATACAATCATGATCTACTATAGATGGATAGATATATCATTAATAAGTGGATCAATAAACAACTCAAGCAGCATTAAACTGAGTGCCTCAGGAAGAAATTTGCTCTACTTTTGAACATTTCTCATTGTTTACACACTGTTTTTGTAATGAACTGTAATCATCCTTTCATTCTAATCAGCTTTAATTCTATTAAAGAGCATATAGAATAAATTCAAATTTTTTTCTGACTATATATTCTTATTTTATCCATTCCTAATAGATACATACTTGAGATCCTCTTTATTAGGGTCACTACCCTACAAAAACTGTTCATAATATAGATTATGTCTACAACTATCCTATTTTTCTATCTTCATTACCGTCTCTGTTCTTTTTGCATCACAGTAAACCCTGCTCCTTATAGGTTTGGACAACCTAATTTTTTTAAAGATTTGATTTGGTAGAGTAGAAATATAACATATACAAAGAAAATTATTGGTATAGTACTTTTAGTGTAAATGTCAAATTTTAAAAATATGATTGTTTAACGCCTGATTCTTAGGAAAAAAACTTCTATTTGTTGTATATCCCAATTTCAATCGTAATAAATCATGGTAATTCTCTTGCCATGAACAATTTTGAGATACCAATGTAGCTGAAAGTTAACAGTCCTCTGCTATGAGCCAATATACAGAGTGCCAGAACATCATTGCTTTTAGGTTAGTGTGATAGAAAACAACAATAAAGTAATAAGTAAAAGAGCTGATAAAAGGAAGAATATAGGCTACACCGGAGAATTTGTCATCTTAAAGAAAACTTGAAAAAGATGCCACTGGTTTAGGTGTTGCATTGCTTTGGCTTTTACTATTTCACCGTTTCTCCCTAATCTGCAAACTGCTGTCAACACCTCACTGTTTCACATCTCTTGCCCTGGTTGCTGCCAACTCATTCTCTTTGTTTATTGACTCCCAGTGGGTCTCCATTAGTCCCCAGGGCTTATATTCAAAAGAAGAGGCGCTATCAACTGCTGAGGCATCCTAATTTACATTACTTCCTCTAATTATCTTAAATACCACCATTGCATCCACTTTATTTTTAATATTTAGATTAGATAGATAGATAGATAGATATTACCAAAAGAAATACACTCTAATTACCTAGGGAGAAACTCCTGACTTCCTTCTCCTTAATCTATCTCTACACCTGAGAATAGTTACTTTTAACTTCACCATAATACTTAAGGTACTATATTGCTATTGTCTATATATTTATCAGTATCACCCAGTAGGCTCCTGAAAAATAGAGGTACTGTTTTATTACCAGGGCATAGTATGGTTCCTGGTACCACCCGTTGAATAAATAAAGGAATGAAATATTATAATTCTTTGAACTCTCAGTTTAAACCATATAATATTAAAATTAATATATATTATTTAGATTATAAAAAATGGATGTTTGTAGCTTTTGGTTGGTTTCTCCCTGTTAAAAAGCACAAAGGTAATTCTCTTTCATTTATTATGTGTTCAAGACATATATGTTAACTTTAATAGGTGTTTTAGAAAAATAATATATCTAGGCCGGGCGCGGTGGCTCAAGCCTGTAATCCCAGCATTGTGGGAGGCCAAGGCGGGTGGATCACGAGGTCAAGAGATCAAGACCATCCTGGTCAACATGGTGAAACCCCGTCTCTACTAAAAATACAAAAAATTAGCTGGGCATGGTGGCGCGTGCCTGTAATCCCAGCGACTCAGGAGGCTGGGGCAGGAGAATTGCCTGAACCCGGGAGGCGGAGGTTGCAGTGAGCCGAGATTGCGACATTGCACTCCAGCCTGGGTAACAAGAGCGAAACTCTGTCTCAAAAAATAATAATAATAATAATAATATATCTAAATTTAGTGCAAAAGAAATCCAACTCCAGATGAGTTGGGTATGCTTTATTATTTTGGAATATTCATTCCTCCTTTTCATTGAGATTAACAACTCCAAGTTGACAATGAATGTAAAATACTTACCAGTTACATTTTTGGTGATATTTTTTCCTTGATTAGTCAAATTAGCTGTTTGATTATTTTCATCACTTGTTTTCAGCACATGCAAAGATACTGAAGCTTTCCTTTCTTTTTGTGGTTTATTTGGAGTTTGGGGCAAGAAAAAAAATGGTATGGAAGAAATAATGGATAACAGTCCAGACACAAGGAAGCCAAGCCACCAAGCTCCAACCCAACGAGAATCCTTAGGAGTTATCCTGATCGTGCCTAGAAGAAGTAATTAGAAGAAGCCAGTCAAACTTATTTCGAAATACAATAAGTTGAGGAAATAATGATATGAAGAAAGTAAATTAAACTTTCTTAATTCCAAGACACTTTTTTTTTGGTCATTTCTGAGACTAAGGATTAGTCTAATACTTGATGACATAATGCAACTGATATTGTCTAGGAATCAGCTATGATACTGTTGTCATTGCCTGAGCTTGTGTGCATTTGATGTCTTTTCTGATTACAAGACTTGACAATTTCTATCACTGGACATTTAAGCTTGCAGACCATTTAATAACTACCCGTGGAAGAAACGTGACTTCTCAATGTTTTCTGAAAATGTCTATTGCCACAATCTAATAAAGTCAAGAAAGGGTCAGCAATGAAATTTAAGCAGTTTGCAAGAAATCCAATAAAGGGCTTCCACCATGCCCAAAATCAGCATCTTCAACTCTCTTGACAGAGCAGAGGATAAGAAAATCCAGTGAAAATATGAGTCTAAAAGTAACCCAGAAGAGTTAGACTCTAGATATTAGGGATAATTTAATCATTTTATTTCAACCACATTTTTCTTTAAATCATGAACAAGAGTGCTACGTAAATGCTATATCTCAAGTGTAAGTGCACTATTTTAGCAGGTATAAAGTAAACAATCTAAGTAATAAGAAAGCCTATATGAATTACCAGAGAGATAACAGAATAGGAAGAGCTGGACTATTTTTTCTTTTATGAATACACTGATTCAACAGTGATACACAAATCAATTCCATTTGTGATAAGTCCAGAAACTAGTTCACAGGCCATTGTACCCCAGGAAAGTACAATATCAGCTATATTGACTTGTAAGAAAATTGGACACACCTCTTTGCTGTTCCTCTCATTATAATACCATGTATTCAAGAACTGGAAGTTTGAAAGGGTATGTGAACACTTGCAATAGCTCTTCTCCCTGGCTCAACACAGACTGAATGCAAGAAAACCTCATCTCCAGCTTATCCCTATGGAGAGAAAGAGTGGACTGCACATCCAAAATTTTAACTTTTCAGGTACTACCCTTGCAACTGTCTTCTATATTACCTATCTTGAAGTGTTGACAGGACCAACCACATACTAGATCTCTGGAGGCTACAGAAAACAAAGATGGTAGTTTAAATAGTATATAAGCATTCCCACAGCTCCTGGCCCATAGCTTAGTGCAGAGTGACCAGGTTAAAAAAAAAATTAAAAACTTCTCTGTGGGGAAGGAAGTATTTCGACCACACACTTAACATTTCACCTTTTCTGCGTCTGACTCCAGCAGCTGGTCATTGTCTTGCCTATCTTGGGACTAGGCATATGCTTGCCTCCAAGAAGAGACAAAGAACAGAAAAATGGTAGATTGAATAACCACATGAGCACTTGCCACAGCTCCTCCTTGCTTCCAGATCTATGCAGAGTGAGGCAGTTAAAAAAAAAAAGAGAGAGAGAGAAATATTCAAAATTTTCTGGGAGTTAACCAAGTGACAAGCTTCTCTGTCCACTGTCTAAAAGTGCTCATGAGACTTTCCATACCCTAGATTCTGGAAGTTCCTAAGAAAAAAAAGAGCAGCCATCTTGGATCTCTCTCCAGAGATCTCTCTCCAGATCTCTCTGGAGAGAGATCCAAGATGGCTGATCACTGGCAGCTCGGGATTGTAGCTCCCACTGAAAGCACAGAGAACGAGAGGATGCCACACTTTCAGATCAATTTTTGCTGCTCGTGCACCAGGTGATTCCCAGCGGAGGGGCCCCACGGGTCACCAGCGCGACTCTTGTGGCTGGCAAGGCGATTTTGCTGCTGCCTTGGTGCGGCGGTTCTTGGTGCAGAGTAAAAGCACCATCAATCTTAACGCCGCTGTTTTGGTGGCACAGTGGGTTGCTCAGATTTTAGTGCCGGGAATCAACAAGTTGGACGTCCATTCAGAAACCCAACTATAAAGACGGTAATTATAAAGACCACAGATGGATAAATCTATAATGAAGGGAAGAAACCAGCCTAAAAAGGGTGAGAATACCCAAAATCAGAACGCCTCTCCCTCTACAGGGGATCACAGGTCCTCATCAGCAACAGAACAAGGCCTGATGGAGAAAGACTGTGTTCCATTATCAGAAGCAGGCTTTAAAAACTGGACGATAAGAAACTTCTGGGAATTAAAAGAACTTGTTCTAACCCAATGCAAAGAAACTAAGAACTTCGAAGAAAGGCTTGACGAAATGTTAACAACAATACACAATTTAGAGAGGAATATAAGTGAATTAATGGAGTTGAAAAACACAACACGAGAACTTCG